GGCTTAAAGGAGCAAGCAGAGAAACATCAAAATCCAACAATGAAGAGTGTTAAAGAAAAACATTATTCAATGATTCTTGTTAAAGCACAGTAAGGCAGACTTTGTTCAGGACCATTGTAATAGGTATTGGAACCAATACAACAGGATTCTGCAGCGGGACAGAGAGATTGAGCTCAACTCTGAATACAGCATGGGCAAGCGGAAGTTCATAGCCAAAGAGTATCCAGTTTTTCAGTAGGTGGAAAATTACTGCGATAACATTGCAGTAAGAAAGATTCTGGCTAAACTGACCTACCAGAATTCTTTCTGAAGACAGGCCAAAGTGATCCTTCATGACCTGTGGGAAGGTGGAGGATGAAAAATCTGATCAGATATCAAAAGTGAGCAGATATCAAGAGGATGGATGTTCTTGTTAAATGGATTTAGCAGAGTTCTTGCTAAAACTGGATTTTATAAGGAAGCGCACAGATGGACCTAGCAGAAGCTCAGGAGCCTGACTAAAGTGTGGTCAAGCAAATAATCTTTGTCAAAAGTTAGCCACATGCTTGTAGTTAGAATTTGCATAAGGTCTGAATACAATTTCTAGAAAATGTCAGTGAGTTTAACCAGCAATTCTGTTTACTTGCACCCAAGCAAATGTGGAAAAGACAGGTAATGCATAATTGCTTTCATTTCGTGGTTCACATTTGGGTCCATATCTATCAAGTTCAATGAGTGGACTTCTCCCCCATCAAAAGGCATCTTGATTGCTTCAACTGCATGGCTCAAAATCCACGTAAGTCCCAAGAAATGGAAGATTCAGCCATGTCAGCCCTCACACAAAAAGGTACCCTAAGTAACCATTCATGACTAAGAAACTCCTCATGTACCTGTCTGCCTACTAGTCTACCAAAACACTAAATTAGATGCATACAATTATAAAGTATATTCCAGGGCATAAAAGAGTTGGCAGAGAATCAATGCCAGGTGTGGCAACCACCAAAAATGCAACCCCTAACTTGAAGTGTAACTGACCAAGGGACTCAACTCTGAAATCCACTGCTGCATTTGTGTTGAGACCATGCTTCTCATGGGCTGTTCTGGTATCAGGAATACCACGGCCAATCTATTTCTTGGAGACAGCAAACTCCTCTGATAGCTAACTGTGGTTCCGAGACTCACCAGCAGCCTTAATGGGCCTTCCTTAGGCTGCACAACTACGTAGGACGCTTCCACCTGACTTTCCTCCCCTCTTCTTCACCTGTGGGCAAATTTTGTTTCGTCATCTGTCAACTGCCCCAAGATGTTCCACCTCCCTCTCCATTTTTTCTAACACAGGCCTTTCCCCTAAGAAAATTCTTGCACATTTAATCCTGTCTTGGCATCTGCTTCTTGGGAAATCTGGACTAATATGCCAGGCAGGATCGGGTACCATGTTTGGGAAAGAAAAACAAACTGAAAAATTGTCACAGCTTCATCCCTTTCTAGTCATGTCAAGCTACTTCTAAAAACCTCATTTCCTCATCTGCCAAATGAATTAGCTGGATTAGGTATCTATAAAGTCTCTTCCAGCTTCAACCTCTTGGATTCTGTAGTTCCCATTCTGCCATTTATGACCACAGGTTACCAGCATCCTAGGAGACAGTGTCTCTCAGCACAGTTGGCTTACTCTACTTACTGAGTCTCAGGTGAGGAGTTACATTTCCATACGCTGCTCTTGGACAAGAGAAAGCTGTGAGGTAGCCAAAAACTCAGCAAGTATAGTAAGGGCATCCCTGGCTAGGCCCCCACAGAGAATCAAGTGAGTGGAACACACCTTTTATAGTCCAAGTTGCAGTATTAGAGCCTCAAGGCCAAGAGCTCACCTTGAAACCAGAGGCAAGGTATACTAGCCAGCTTGAAGAGATCCTGCCACATCAGGAGGAGATAGTGTGCTCTCTTCCAAGCCCCCTAAACTCTGTGTCAGACCTTTCTCAAGGCACTTGGCGCATGGACTTAACAAGCACCTTGGAGTCTGACACATGAAAGTGCAAATCATTGGTGAGCCAGTGAGAAGTTACGTCAGTTAAGATTAGGTATGGCTACCTGTGAAGGAAACTCAAATTAACAATGGCTTAAAGACATTCTATTTTATTCTCTCACAAAAAAAGAAGTCCAGTGGTAGACAGTTCAGAGCTGAGAGAGTGGCTCCACAAAGTCAACAAGGACCTAGATTCCATTCACCTTTCCACTCCACTATCTTTTGATTCAAGATGACTGCTAGAGCTCCAGCCATCACATCCATGTTCCAAACCACAGGATGAAGGACAGAAGAAGGGACCTTCTTTCTTCCTTTCAACACATTTCCTACATTTTTCACCAACACTTCCACTTTATCTTACTGGCCAAAACATAGTCAGGTAGCTTTACCCATCTACAAGGAAGGCTGGAGAATGTAGTCTGTTAGCTGATGGCAATCTGCTCAGCTGAAAATCAGGGTCCTTATGGTCAAGAAAGAAGTGGAGCTGAATATGAGGAGGTAGTTGTTTCCATCAGAGACTAACAGGAAAAACAAACCTGGTGGGAGTGAAGACAGAGGGCTTGCACAGCAGGGGAATGAATCAGGCATGGAGAAGATGGGTCTCTCACCATCCGTGGGGTCATAGTATGCATATGCCTCAAATTTTTATCATAACCAAAAATAAAAACAAAAAATTGGCAATATTTAACCCTATCTAAAAATAAATACACACATGACTTACATTGTACTACCTATACAGCTAACTCAAGTCCCATATTATTTTATGCTGTTACGATTCAGACACTTGTGTGTGTGTGTGTGTGTGTGTGTGTGTGTGTGTATAGTGCAGTGGCACAATCTCAACTTACTGCAACCTCCACCTCCCTGGTTCAAGCAATTCTCATGCCTCAGCCTCCGAGCCTCCAGAGTAGCGGGGATTACAGGTGCCCTGATAATTTTTGTATTTTTAATAGAGATGGAGTTTCACCATGCTGGCCAGGCTGATGATTCAGACACATTTTTTAAATGCTTTCTCTGAGAGTCAAGATTTAAAGTTGTGGCACGAGTTGAGGTAGATCTGTGATTTTAAAAGTAGACCACGCCTCCCTACCACTTTCGCCAGGAAGTGTGATGCTGTTGGCACTCAGATTCCCTGGCGCTCATGTTTTTCACCTGCCAAATGAAGATAGTAATGCCTATCAGGACGGGCTATCATCAGGATGCAAAGTAAAGCCTGAAAAGCATCCAGTCTAGAGTCTTGTTCATGATAAAAGCTCAATAAAGGCTACGGTTATTTGTGGTCTCCACTGCTAGCAGGAGGTTTCCAGAGAAGAAGCATCTGTCTTCTTCCTCTTTGCATCTCCTCCTTTTTTCTTTTAAATTTATTGAATTATGGGATTTCAAAAAATTGTTTTTCCATTAAAAAGCCTAGTTGTGTTCTATTGAACATTTGTAATGCTATATGCGGAAATAAATTATTTTAACAAAATTCAAACAGGTTTGAAAACAGAGACTATCAAAATAGTTATTTGTGTGTTCGCTTATTCAACATTTATTTGAGGACCAAACATTGAAGATACGAAGATGAAAATCACATAGTTCTATATTCAAGATAATCAATGTAAGAGGAGGACAGAACAAATTATAAGATGCAATAAGAACTACAGTGAAGATGCGTAGTTACTGATGCCGGCAGGAGGGGTCAGCTATGCCCAGGAGAATCAGAGCTTTACAGAAGACGTGAAATTTGAGTTGGTGTTTTGAGGGATGAATAGGAATTTACTAGGTGGAGGGAAAGATTAGTTACTAATTTTAAATATTATATCTAGAAATCATGAATAAGCAGGAGGGAAAGTTTGGTTAATGTGTGAATCAGCAGATGAAGAGAAATAAATCTTATAATAAAGAGATATTTCGATTTAGAACAGTACAGACATGGGAATTATGATCTCTCTATATATATATACACACACACATTATATATATAATATATATACATTATATATAATATATATACGTCATATATTAGACATATATACACACAAAATATATACACACACATATATACACACACACACACACACACACACACACACACATACACATACATATATCTCCAAAGCCAGGTTAGTGATGCTGAAGGCAGTTTGCCCCTCACTAGGAAACACCATGAGGGCTGGATTATTACATGTGTGGCCTGAGCATTTGCTGGTAGAGTGAGAAGGCCCATGTCATAAGAAGATTCACAACTAAAACCTCTTCCAATTGCAGGTATCAGAGATCCATATAGGAGCCCAGCTTCAGCAACGACCTGGTGGCAAGGAAGAAGAGTCCTCAACACAGACATCATAGGTGAACTCTTCCAGAATGAGATCAACAGGATCAGAAATGCCCTTCCACTTCCATTAAGCCCCACAGTTAAGAACACTGAATTGGAATAAGGAATTAATGGGAGGAGACCTGTGAAAACTCCTATATGCTGCTTGAGAAGAATGGCAGACCAACTAATTAACTCATCCAGTAATTTGTCATATTAAATTATCACAGCAATTTGTGAGAAGCGGGGAGTTTCTCTGGGAAATAGGATCCAGGTCAGTGCCTTCTTACAGAGCTAAACCTCTGCAGTGTACGAAAACCTTTCCAGGGCAGCCCATGTACAATGAATATGGTGCACTGGGGCCCAGAAACCACCCTTCTTCTAATACAGGGTTTGTCAAACTTGAAGTTACAAACACTTAGGAGATCTTAAAAGTCTATTATCACAACAAGCTTTTTAAAAACATGAAATAGAATGGAATGGGACAGAATGGAACCCAATGAATGGATGAAAGGATAGAATAGAATAGAATAGAATAGAATGGCATGGCATGGCATGGCATGGCATGGCATGGCATGGAATGGAATGGAACGGAACAGAACAGTGCATTACACTAGTAGAGTTAATACAGTTTTGTAAAACATCGTAAAACCATGCATACATGTGCATGCACACACACACATACACACACACAGACAATCTGGCTTTTATTTAAATGTATGTTTATTGGTTGCAGGCCAAAACCCCACTATCCTAGCATTCCCATTACCCTAGTGCACCTTCCCAAACTGAAAGACTGAAAAACTTAAAGTGGCATTTCCCATCATCTCTTGCAGTTAAAATTCAAATAGGATTTAGGTTGGCCAAACATAAACAATTGCATGAGATTCAGAAAGTGTGATGAAGGTAAAAGTCTCTACTTGGGTCCATCCAATGCTGCTGTTGACCGGCTGGTTCACAGGGGCCCTGGGTTTTCCTGCAGTAACAGTGGCAGAGGTCCCAGTGTCCAGTTGCTGATTTCATGGTAGAGTAGGAGGTCTGTGTTCTGCGAAAGTGGACCTGGCAGCTGCAGCACTCTTCTGGAGGCAATGGCTGCCATGGCCTTCTCCCCAGCCATGGATCACAGCGGGGCCGTTGTATTCCTGGATGTACCATTTGCCATGTCTGCTTCCTGATTTTCCCGCTTCAGGATTGTGGCAGTGGCGAAAGCTCCCCAAGTGGGCTGACGCTGTGGCGCTGTTCTGGAAGTCACTCTGGAACACCCAGCCCACTCCTCCAGCCTTCCCAGGATTTTATGAGTGCTTAATTCTCTTCCTGATTAAAAATTGCTAGAGTTGTTTCTGTTGGCTGCAACTAAACCCTGTTGAGTAATAGAAAAAGAGATATGGAGGGTCATCAAATGATGCACCCAAGTCTCCTCTGTAATTAGAGTCGAATTAATGGCAAGGCTGGAACTGAAACCCTGTTCTTCGAACACTGAGTCCTCAGTGAGGTTTGGGGTCCCCTCAGCTGCATTTGTGCAGGAATGGAAAAAGAGGATGATATTAAACCTAAGGAAGGGGCTTAGGTTTCAGATGAAGTTTGTGCTCAAATCTCACTCTCAAGGTCCTCCTCTCCTCCAGAGTTACTAAGGAAGCAGTCACAGAAGGAACAAACACCAAATAATAAGAAAAACATTACCATTTTACAAGCAGCACAAGCCCCTGGCACTCCCATGATGCAGATGACCTATATGATCTGCAGAGGTGCATGGAGTTGGCCTTTCTCCCACTTGAACAGAGATGGTAAGATCTAAACAGCAGACCCCACGCTTCTGACGCAAGCAGTCAAATAGATGAGGCTGACCAACCTGTAATAGGGACTGTCAGGGATGGTTACTGCACTGGAGGCAGAGGACTTAAAGTAGGAGACTTAGGAAGCAGGCAGAAAGAGGACAGGGAATAGGTTCCATCAAGGCTTCAGCCTCTGTCTACCCAGATTGGAGGCACTTTCTCTTGTATCGGGATGAAGCTAAGAAATGGAGGGTGAGAGGCTGAGCACAGTGGACCATGCCTGTAATTCCAGCACTTTGGGAAGCCGAGGCAGGAGGATCACCTGAGGTCAGGAGTTCTAGATCAGCCTGGCCAATATGGTGAAACCCTGTCTCTACTAAAAATACAAAAAATTAGCTGGGCTTAATGGTGGGCACCTGTAATCCCAGCTACTCAGGAGGCCGAGGCAGGAGAATTGCTTGAACCCAGGAGGCAGAGGTCGCATTGAGCCAAGATCCCGCCATTGCACTCCAGCCTGGACAACAAAAGTTAAACTCTGAAGAAACAAAGAGAGAGAGAGAGAAAGAAAGAGAGAGAGAGAGAGAAAGAGAGAGGGAGGGAGGGGAAGGAAAGAAGGAAGGGAGGGAGGGAAGGAGGGAGGGAGGAAGGGAGGAAGGAAGGGAGGGAAGGGCGAGATCAATGAAAGGATGGAAAATTCTTCAACTCCATTAGGCAGAGGTGAGAATACAGAGAGAAGATCCTGAACATTCCCCTCCTGCTACAGAAAGCTGACCTGAGGCAGAATTGAGGGTCCTAGAGTCTAGGGTGTCTGGACAATCATGAAAACATGAGGGGACCATGTTTTAGAAGAATTAGGAAAGAATTCGAGGAAAGAAAGGCCAACAGAAAGATGCAAGACATTAGAGAGATCTTATGCCCTCTTTCATTCTTTTCTCAAAAGTGTTTCCGAATTTAGAGGGTTTTTTGTTGTTGTTGTTGTTGTTTTGTTTTGTTTGTTTTTTTTGAGATGGAGTCTCACTCTGTCACCCAGGCTGGAGTGCAGTGGCATGATCTCCACTCACTGCATCCACTGTCCCCAGGTTCAAGCGATTCTCTTGCCTCAGCCTCTGCAGTATTGGGAATACAAGTGTGCACCACCACATCCAGCTAATTTTTTTTGTATTTTTAGTAGAGATGAGGTTTCACCATCTTGGCAAGGCTGGCCTCGAACTCCTGACCTCAGGTGATCCGCCCACCTTGGCCTCCCAAAGTGCTGGATTACAGCTGTAAGCCACTGTGCCCAGCCCAAAATTTAGAGATCTTATATGAACTTAGCTGTAATTTCTCATAAATGCATAGGTGACCGTCTCCTGTAGATTGACGCTGAAGGAAGCAAAAGTCTCTCACCTCTTACTGGGCCAGCATAGCTCCATTCCCTTCTAAGAGAGGCTTTTTAATAAGTTGGCATTCATCTTACTCTGGTGAGTTTATTTTATCACAGACTCTCTGAGAAGAAAAAAAAAAAACATTGCGACTTACCACAATAAAGTAAATATCACAAGATAAATGACAATGTTGGAATGGAAACCACTTAGGGACTCAGAACGGTCAGATGCAAACAGTTTCAAGAATATTAGCTGTTAAAGGTTATGCCTTATGTCACCCAAAAGAATTTTCCCCTAGATTTATAGCACAAACTCATGGAAGATTTATTGCCATCTTAATTTTTCCCCCATTTTCACTTTACGAACAGTCAGCCTGGAATTCCTCCTAAGTCATTTAGAAATGAGGAGCTGCTGGTTTTTAAGAAATGTTTTGTAGCACATTTTCTGCAACTTTAATGTCTTTCTTATGAATTCGATTATGATCAAATCATCTCATGCGCCTCTCCAGATTCACCCTCTGCCCTTTGCCACCCACCCTGTTCTCTGTCCCAGGAAGCTGGCCTTTAAGAGCCACAGAACAAAGTCTCTTGCCTTTGACTTTCAGATGGGTACAGCCACAACGAGGAATGACCAGAGACTGGCGAAAGGGAAGAGATGGGCTTGGGCTGTTGGTTCCCCCAGATCCTTTCTGCATGCTCCACGGTTGGCTGCAGCCTTGGCAAGGTCTCAGCTTCTGTCAGGCTGCCTTTTCACAATGCTCTCTGCCTCCAAGTTCCAGTAACCACTCCGTCCCAGTGATAGAGTGTACATTTGCTCACAATACTGATTCTCTCTCTCAGGGCCCACTCCACTTATTGTGGCTTGGCCATTTGATTTGCATTAGTCCATGGAATGTTAGCGGGCGTGACATCTATCTCACGGGAGCAAGAAGCTTTAATGTGCTCTTGCATGGTGTGGCTCTGTCCCTGGTGCTTCTGACTTCTATCATGAGAAGAGCATGTCCCAACGTGAGACCACTGTGAGCCTGCGCTCTCAAATGAGAAGGCATGTAGGGCCCAGCCAAGCCCAGCAGAGTCCAGCAGAACCACAGCCAAACTACAGCCCTCATGCAACATGCATGAGAAATGATGTTTGTTATCATAAGCCACTGAAATATCGAGGTTGTTGGTTATGACTACAAAAGTCAACAGATGCAGCCGGGCGTGGTGGCTCAGGCCTGTAATCCCAGCACTTTGGGAGGCTGAAGCGGGGAGATCACGAGGTCAGGAGATTGACAGCATCCTGGCTAACATGGTGAAACCCCGTCTCTACTAAAACTACAAAAACTTAGCCGGGTGTCATGGCGGGCACATGTAGTCCCAGCTACTCGGGAGGCTAAGGCAGGAGAATGGCTTGAACCCGGGAGGCGGAGCTTGCAGTGAGCTGAGATCGCGCCACTGCACTCCAGCCTGGGCGACAGAGTGAGACTCTGTCTCAAAAAAAAAAAAAAAAAAAAAAAAAAAAACTAAACAGATGCACTCCTAGTGCCTCTTCAAGACCTAGGGGTACCTCTGACATCTACTGCTACTAGGCACAGAGTTTCGCTATATGCCTTGTGAGTTCTCTACTCCCTTCCCAAACATTTATGAATGGTTCCTTTATTAAAGACTCTTCAATATATCCAATTCAATTATGTCACCTGCTTCTCGTTGAGACTGTGACTGAAATATGTCATGTTTAGAACAGAGAATATTAGAACAAACCACAAAGAGATTTAATATAGCGTGATATTGACTGAACTCTCTTTAATAGCAAACAATAACTAGGAGGAAAAGGAAGGCGGGGAGGGAGGAAGCAGAGGCAGACAAACAAAAGGAGAGGAAAGAGAAAGATAAGGAGAGGAAAGGAAGAAAAAGAGGAGGAGGAAGAGAAAAAGGAAGACGTGGAAGTATGGAGTGCGAGAGAAGAAAGTAGTTATTGAGGGCTTACTATGTGCAGACCTTGTGAAAAGAACTTAAAGATAATCTTGACTATAGTAAAAAATAATTGAATTGTTCGTTTTTAAATGATTAAAAAGTCTAACTGGGTTGTTGAAAACACAAAAGATCAATGCTTGAGGGGATAGATACCCCATTTACCCTGATGTGATTATTATGCATTGCATGTCTGTATCAAAATATCTCTTGGAACCCGTAAATATATGCACCTACTATGTACCCACAAAAATTAAAAATTAAATAAAAGGTGATCTCATTCGATCCTTACAACAACACTAGGTACTATCAATTATGTGCATTTTGTAAATGAAGAAATAAGATAAAAAGAAGGTGGGGCGTTTCCTCAAGGTCATCCTCAGAAATGTCCAGAAAAACTGCTTCACAGCCTCAAGAAAGAGAGAACACAAAGTGGGTGGTAGGAAGGCCTCGTGGTGATAACATCTTCGAGGGCCATGAGGGGTGACAGAGTGATGCTAGTTATTCAAAACTCTTGGACAACATATGCCAGGAAATCTTGCTGGCCAATGGAAATACATCAACAACTACAGCTTGCAAAACACCAACAGGCTCTAAGTAGCTCCAGAGTTCATTTGGATTCTGTGCTTTTTTAAAAAGAAGCTCCATTAAATGGCCACGATGAGCTTCTCTGATGCTGGGATTATGCACTGTAGTGCAAAATAAATTCAATTATGGGGCTCTCCTATGAGTGAGGAACTAACACGCAAGTTCCCATTTTCTCTTGGGCTTTATTTCTGTTTCAAGATTGTCAAGCAAAAGTGATCATTACAAAGACGACTCTATCTTGCACTGATTTTTTACACCATTCACCTGTTGTTCATTCACAGGTCTTGCATGGAGGTCGATCTCTACAAATGCATGCAGATGTGCTATGATTCAATTCTAATGAGCCTTTCGGAGGAAGTCACACACAACTCCACTTTTACCACTTTTACCCTTACCAAAATGATCAACACACATCATTTCTCTTAACTGTTTTATGCAAACTTAATAAATATGCTGAAAAGTAAGAAAAATATAACTCAGATTCAGAAAGAAGGGAAGCAAAGTAAAGTTTATTGACTGATTAATAGGTTCAGCTCTCTATCTACAATCTCCTTTGACAGGAAGATATCATTACTCTCATTTTATCAATGAATAAACAAGATCTCAGAGGCTGAACATAATACTTAATATTGAGTATCAACTTGATTGGATTGAAGGATGCAAAGTATTGTTCCTGGGTGTGTCTGTGAAGGAGTTGCCAAAGGAGATTAACATTTGAGTCAGTGAACTGGGAAAGGCAGACCGACCCTAAATCTGGGTTGTCACAATCTAATCAGCTACCAGCACAACCAGAGCAGCAGAACGTGGAAAGCCTAGACTGGTTAAGTCTTCTGGCCTCCATCCTTCTCCCGTGCTGGATGCTTCCTGCCCTTGAACATCAGACACCAAGTTCTTCAGCTTTTGGATTCTTGGACTTACATCAGCGATTTGCCAGGGACTCTTGAGCCTTCGGCCACAGAGTGAAGGCTGCACTGTCAGCTTCCCTACTTTTGAGGTTTTGGGGACACAAAACCAGGTTTTGGCTTCCCAGCTCCTCAGCTTGCAGATGGCCTATTGTGGAACTTCACCTTGTGATCGTGTGAGTCAATTCTCCTAATAAATTACCCTTCACATATACATCTATCCTATCAGTTCTGTCCCTCTAGAGAACCCTGACTAATACGCTGAGTAAGCCCAGGGTAACATAGCTGCTTCATGGCAGAAGCCAGGTCCTAACAGACTCTTGCAGGCTGTCTTCCTGCTGTGTGCTCCTGTTCCAGCACAGACCTGGCATGGGCCCATCATGTGCCAGCCACGCCCAAGGCCAAAATCGTCTCAGGGAATGGTGAAGCCCTGAGAATATGTACTAGCTGTCTGTCATCAACCATGTTGATATTCAAAAGCATGCAAAGCCCTTCTTAGGGAAAGATTTGTTTATCTCTCTGTTGGCAGCAACCTTGGTTGGACAACTTGATTTTGCCAGAGAAACATGAACAGAAACACGTGGGCTATTTCCAAGTAGAGCCTTTAAAAGCCAGCTCAGAGCTCTTCATGTTCTCTTTTCCTTTCGCTACAAATAACGTGTCATTCAAGGTAGAGGCTGTTCCACCAGCCTGGGTCATGGAGTGAAACCCCCACCATGGATATGAATCGTGAGTGCAAGATAAACCCTTAGACTGGTAGGTCACTGAGATGGGGTCCTTCATCACTGCAGTGTGACCTAGCTGGGGTTCAGGGTTCTGAAGCCCCAAGGGGCACATCCACTGCCCAATGTTTGTATCTTTTTAAATTTATGATAAATACCAGAGTGGGGAAAGAAAAAGTTGGGTTTGAATCCTGACTTTGCCCTTTAGAACCTGAAAATGAGCCATCTTGTGCCATCTTTCTGCACCTTCATTTCCCCATGAGTAAAAATAAAAATCATAATGCCTACCACTTTGATATGGTTTGGCTGTGTCCCCACCCAAATCTCATCTTGAATTGCAGCTCCCATGATTCCCATGTGTCATGGGAGGAACCTAATGAGAGGTAATTTGATCATGGGGGCAGGTCTTCCCTGTGCTGTTCTCATGATAGTGAATAAGTCTCATGAGATCTGATGGATTTATAAAGATAAGTTCCCCTGCACAAGTTCTCTCTTGCCCTCCACCATGTAAGAAGTCCCTTTGTTCTTCCTATATCTTCTACCATGATTGTGAGGCCTCCCCAGCCATACAGAACTGTGAGTCCATTAAGCCTTTTTTTTCTTTATAAATTAGTCAGTCCTGGGTATGTCTTTATTAGCAGCATGAGAACAGAGGTGAAGAACAGCGTGAGAACAGCGTGAGAACATACTTGAGGTGGAAGAGAAATGAGATGCCGAGGCCCTCACTCTGTTTCTGGTACTCCATAAGCACACCTCAACCTTTCTCTATCTTCTCCCAGTTCTCACCCGCTTTCTCCATTCCCTGTGAGCCCTGTCCCATCCTTAAAGATGTGTGTTCAGGCCACTTCCTGCCTGTCTCCACACTTCTGCACTTTCTCTTCTGTTGCCCTTCTCTCTTCCCAGCACCCGGCTGTCCCCCTGCATGCACACTCAGATCTTCATCTTCCTTCTGATGCTTTCACCTCCTCCTGCCTCCAGCAACTACAACTGCCTCACTTGAGAGCCTCGATCTCCTTCCCTGCATCTGTAATCATCAGTGAAATGTTGAGCACAGCTGGATTTTCTAAGCCAATGGTTAATTGCAGGGAGCTGAGGGTGACCCAATGGCAGTTTCAAGTATTTGGAGTGTGAAGTAATGAAGACGCTGGTGAGCAGACCAGCTGAAAATCAGCAAACAGGCCCCCTGAACAGCTTCCAAGGGTTCTGATGAAAGTGGCTGTCTTTCCCCAGCTGGCGAGGTTTGTGCTTGAGCCGGAAGCAGACAAGAGTCAGAGACCACCCCAGGGAGATGTACAGTGGGAAGACTGTGTCCTCAGACCTGCAGAAGGATTTTGATAACTTCTCCAGTTACCATGGCAGCTGGGCTCACAAAGGATTACACAGGAACTAAGCAGCAAAATCCTTAATGAAGTAGTGACCTCAAGAGCCTAGGTCTCCCCTCAGCAGCAACAGTGGCCCCTCGATCCTCATCTCTGCTAATGAGGGACTCACTAACACCCCTCACACAGAGGACAGTCTGTACTGCCCCGAAGATGAAGGGGATACCCAAACACATATGTCATGACCTCAGCTCAGGGTTGTGAAAACCGCGAGAACAGTCCATCTGTGCCCCCTACCGTCTCTTTCTTTGCCTGTCCACAAATCCAGACAAGGGATGGGCAGATATATACTCCAGGAGGCCACTCTGCAGGCCACTCTGTGGTCCCATGGGTTTATCTGCACTGAGGGAAGTTTCTTGAAAAGTCTTCAGTTTTGAAAGTGCAGCATTTTAAGTGCTTACTCTATACAGGCACTGGGGACTAAGCAGTGAAAAAAATCTAAGCACCTACACTCAAGGAGTTTATAGTCAAAGTGACTGAAATACAAATAAACTAGCTGTTCTAACAGTGAGAAAAGTTTAGGGTTCTGGGAGTTGGGGAGTGATGAAAAATGCATATCACATGATAGGTGCACAATCAATACTTAAATGAATTTGTTTATTATAAAAATGATCAATAAATTGAATCAACAACACACCAGGCACCTTCCTACCCCAGAATATTTGTGCTTACTATCCTTGTACTTACTATTCTTTTTTAAAAAAGATTAATTTTTAATTTTTTTTTTTAGCCCACCTGAATTCACC